GCGTTTAAGTTCAACCTTCTGCAATTGTGCCACGAGCCCTGTTATTCTGTCGGTTACGATCGGGAATATCAACAATCGGAACGAGGGCGTTCAGCCATCAGGTTATCTGATATGATCTACCACTTACGACTTAAACCAAATCTAGAGCCCTCACAGTCGTATTGGTAACAGTGGTTATGCGGGAATACCGAATAGATCAAGGGAGACTGGAATGGCCGTTACTGGCTTATTAACCGTTATCAGCTAGCCATACCTAGTCCCAGGTTTGGATAACCTGAGACTCGAACCGGAAGTCCTTGGCGATTAAACCTTTAAGTCCAACGCCGTCAGACAGCGGTTGGGCCTTATTTCGCGTTACGTCTGAAGGATTGGTGAAAACATCTGCCTTTCTGTTACTTATGTACGTTTGTCTCATAAACCCAGAAGAAGCATTACTGCGGGTTGGAAAAGGACTCGCAGGGCCGGAAGATCCACCCAAATTCAGTCGGTGAAGCGCACGGCAGGAATTCAGGTAACAGGTCGATCCCGTTCGGCGACACACCGGTCCTGGACAGGAGTTTCTCGTTTCCTGCTGCCTGTTTTAATTAATTGTACTGGATGAATCATCAGCAGTTCCCAGACGTCTGAGTAGGATCGAACACAGTGTCAGCCGATGACCAATCTACCAATCTGCTAAGGGAAGTCCCAGTGGGCACAAATGAAAAGGCACGAAACCAATGAGCGTAGAAATGTGCTGATTCGTGCGGCCACAAGCCCTGACAGGTCCGCCTCGTCCACACGTCACGGCATGGGGGATATTGCGTGCGCTCCTCTTCAGTGATCTGCCACCCATCTTGAGAATCGACACCAGAACAACAACCACAGTTTAGAGCCACAGAAATCGCGCAACCAAGCGACTGATAACACTAAAACACCATCAACACAGTCCTTTGGAGATGTTGCTCGGCTATACAGGGGAATGGGCACCTCCTCCGTATCGCCTGTGACCATGAGTAAGATTCAAGAGGGATATCTACTCCCGTGTCCTACCTTTAGCTTCAACCCCAAGGTCACCTGTGAAACGGAGGGTGAGGGGCACTTGTCCCCATGCCATACCCGTTCCTCTAATCACCTAATACTATTAAAGTTGGTATGGTAGGAGGACGCTCACCGACCGTGTTAAGGAACCCAGTCGTCCCGTTGTGCCCTGGGGATCTCTCTCGAGTCTAACCAGCAGCCGCACAGCGATGCATAACATAGGCAGAATAGCATTACCGACAAAGGCAAGGGAGACTGGGATGGCCGTTTATGACTTATTAGCCGTCGTCAGCCAGTCATACCCAACCCCAAAGTGTAGAACACCTGGAGTTCAATACTGCGACCTGTTGATTAGAAGTCTACCGCGCCTAATTGCTGAGCCGCGGCTCGTTATCCTGTCAGTTGCGATCAGGTATATACACTGGTAGGAAAACGGTCGCCGATCGTATTACGGAACTCACTCGTTCTGTTGTGCCTTACGGGTTCTCTCTCGAGCCCTGCTAGCAGTTGCATAGCAGCAAGTAATGTAGAGGCGTTGGACTTCTAACCAACAGGTCGCGGACTCGAGCCCTAGGTGCTCCACACTTCGGGCTTGGTTACAACTGGCGGACGACGGCTAGCATGCCAGAAATGGTCATTACAGTCTCCGTTGTCTACGTCGATAATGTTATTCTTAGAAGAAGAAAATTGGCTCTCCGGAATAGGTTTATTTAACTGCCTACAAGAACATAAATCGGCCACTCGGAGGTTAGACCCTAACTCTCAACTAGCAACACACGTTGGGGAAACGGGGCATACTTTTGACCTCCAGAGGGCTACCATCTTAGGCCGAGGCAACACAAAAACAGAACGGCTAACTCTCGAGGCGTGGTTCTCCGATGCCCACTCTATCAACAGGCATCTGGACCTTCCTGCAGCTTACAAAGTCCTACGTCATCACAACCGTAGAGCTCAGGACCAAACAACCACACCGGACTTAAGAAGACAGCACGGAGATAGCCCGACGCTGAGCTTACTCGGTGAGGAAGAACAAGAACCGCCAGACCGACCGCCCGACTAAAGTCCAATCAGCTCCCCTCGACGGAGTGGTGACTCATAAAGCGCACAGGCAAAAACGCCCGTCAACCGTTTCCTGAGAGGCCGACGCAGCGGGAGGAGAGGAAAAAATCGATCAGCATGAGGCCAACCAACACAGCTTGCCACTTTAAATTAAATTTCTGATCGATTAGGTGCAGTTTACGCTTTGACAATGAAGAGCCGACCCAGCTCTTTGAAACGTCAGCAGTTAAATAAACCTGTTCCGGAGAGCCAATTTTCTTCTTCTGATAATCTTCCCGGATCTCTAAACTTTTCCAATCTGAATAATGTTATTCTGCCTATCTGACCGAGGCGGCGTCCCACAGACGTAATTATACAAAGTCAACGAAAAAGTCGTCTCCACCAGCTGAGAGAAGCGCTTCCGCTACCGGAAAATCGTGCCCTACAATGATACTTCTGCTAAACGTAGCCTGAGTCAGACTGTTCGACAACTCCACAACGCCGTGCCTACCTTACTTCTGGATGGCGTGGCTGGTAGAGGTTAAATGTATATGTATATATTAAAGGGTTACAGGCAGAGCCCTTGATGACCCTATTTATGTACAGTGCTTTCGCAGATTCATACTCAAAAATAAAATTGCAGGCATTTAAAATGTGATTGGGTCACAGTTCAATCGTAATCATAATGTAGTGCATGGGGTCACTGTAAATTAGTGCAGAAGATTGTATACGACAGATTTTACAAAGCTGGCTGTGCATAGCCATGCTGTACAAGCCGATTTCTGTTGAAAACTAGACGAGCAAGTTTTCTTTTAAACACACAAACTGTGTCAGACGTCACCATCTCGCTTGGAAGCGAGTTCCACGGTCTGACAACCCGCTGGCTGAATGAAAATTTTCGTCGGTCTAAACGCATGCGCTCATTCCCGACTTTGTATGCATGGCCGCGTAGTTGGTTTGTAAGGGCGAACTCAAAGAAGTCCCCTGCTCTTAATGAGCAACCCTGGCCGCGAACAATCCGGAACGTCCAGAGTAGACTGAAGTCTATTTGTCTATAAGAGAGAGGGAATAGGCCAAACAAATTCAGCCTCTCCTGATAAGACAAATGTTTCAGACCGTCGATCATCTTTGTCGCTCTGCGTTGCACCTGTTCAAGTAAGTTGATATCCTTCCTCATCCATGGTGAAGCTGCTGGCATTCCATACTCTAGATGAGGTCTTACAAAGTCACCAAAGAGTCTTTCGAAAAGTTCGGGAGGAAATATTTTAAATGCACGTCTGATCCAGTGTAGAGTACTAGTTGCCTTCTGGACCATCTTTCATCAGTGTTCTGATGGCGATAGATTTGTGGTCGTCCATACACCCAGATCTCTGTGTCTTTGCACAGTTTCTAACCTCGTTCCGTCAATATAGTACTGGTGTTTGGGAGAGTCATTACGGCCGGTGTTCAGGTGCAAAACCACGCATTTGGACACGTTAAACTTCAAAAGCCATCTCGACCTCAAAAGCCATCTGTTCGATGTCTGTCTCGGTTTCCCTGCGTGAGCGACAGTCAGTGTCATGAGGAGACAAACGATCAGGTACAACTAGCAAGAAATACGACCTACTGACCAGGGGTTCCCAAGTGAGGCTCAAAAAACATTCCGCTGTATGAGGCCAGACCAGGATTCTGAGCAGTGTTCAATTGAAGATGGCCGAGATGTCCGAAAACTGCTGGCTAGAGAGAAGACTAGGACTTTGATTCACGGGCCACGTCACGGACAGCTAGACGCGTCATTTGACGCCACCGAGTCAGAGGGCATGGTCACACACTTCTTCAACCCCAGGAAGCGTTTACCCGTTGTGCAATCTTGGAGTCCATATCCGATCCGGCATCGCCGTCGTAATAGCCAATTAGAAAGATGAAGGTGGTTATATCAGAACTCTAGGGGTCTCTGAGTCCAATGGAATGCAGGCTGAATAACGGTAGCTGAGTCCAGCCAACGGACGTTGGGCAGATATAGCGATGTTTTGCATGAGGTCGTGGACCCAGGAGACGGCTAGACCTGCAGTAATGATACTCTTCACAAGTTTATGCAAGACCGGACGTGCAGGCCTGAGGATCACTGAAATAGCCCAACCAATACAGTATTATGCAATGCCTTGAGCAGTCTTACTTTACAATTAAATGCTGTGCGCGAATTTCTCATGCGCAGTCTGAGAGTTGTACTAACTTACTTACGTGATACGGCTGCGATCATGCCTGATCTAGCCGGCCTCGATAGTGTCCCGAACTGTACGTCTTCACGCGTGACGATCCGCGGCAGCAGATATGGACAGTTCAACCCGTTCCCTTCGCACACGACGGAGACCGAATACCGAAGGTTCAAGAACCACCCCCACGTCTTGACGAACTGCGTCGAGCCAGGTGTTGAACTGACCCCCTCTTCGACGCCTCCAATGGGGCAACGGTGCCGGATCGAGGACAGTAACACTGAGCCTCTGAGGTGGACGACGAAGAACGTGCCCGAACCACCTCAGTCGTCTTTCTTGGATGGCCTGAGTTATCCTTGCGATGTTGTGCCAGCGAGCGCGTACTGTCTCATTTGAGACGAAATCGGTGAACTTCACTCTAAGGATAGTCCTCAAGCAGTGGTGGTCAAATACCTCCAGTCTTCGTTCGTCCTCCACGCGCAAAGCCCAGCATTCACAACCGTAGAGAAGGACAGACCGGACAGATGCACGGTACACGCTAATTTTAGTGGCGATGGAGAGGTCACGTCGGTTCCACAGGCATTTCCGAAGGCTTGAGAAAACCCAGCGGGCAGCATCGATTCGGGAGACAATGTTGTCCTTACTCTGTCCATTGGGCAACAGCCTCGCCCCAAGGTATTTAAAACTGCCTACTTCTTCAAGTTGACAGTCATCAATCCCGAGGGGTGCCTTCTCCTGGTCAGGTATGCAGCTTCAGAACACTTTGGTCTTCCCAGCGTTTATGGACAAACCGACCGATTTAGCGACCTCGTTCACTCGTGACACCATAGACTGCAGATCACCAAAACTTGAAGCAAGTACGGCGATATCATCTGCATAGTCGAGATCAGTCAGCCGATGTCCGGGTACAAATTCAACACCGTCACTCTCACGCAGGGCCCTCAAAAGGATCCAGTCAATAGCGTAGTTGAACGGTATGGGTGACAGGATACAACCCTGTCGGACGTCAGACCGAATACCGAACGGTTGGGAAAGATTGTTGCGGACCAGGACTCTCGCAGTAGTGGAGCGATAGTAGGCCTTGATCGTGGCGATGATTTTTGCCGGTACACCATCTAGCGCCAAGCCCAAAGCGGCCAAGAAGATGACTGGCTGTGGGGTCGCCAGGTCCAGTTCGACCATTCCGACCGCCAGCAACAACCAGCAGATTGCGGCGAGGCAATCTTTCAACTAGTGCTTGCAACTGAGAGTAAAACGCTTCTTTATCGCGCTGTTCGGCAGCCGAAGTTGATGCGTACACAGAGACGATGGAGATGTTCGTGAAGCGACCCTTCAGTCGCACGTCGACCATCCGGTGAGACAGATCCAGTCGCACCAACGTACGCTGTAGTGCGGTACCCACCGCCGTTACTTCTTGCCCAATATTCGCAAAACTAACGACGCCCGAGAGGCACGTGAAATTTGTATGTGAATCATACCTAATAGGGCCAAAAAGGCAAAAACGCCACATTTAGCCAAATTTTTGTCAACAGAGAAGGCAGCACAACAATAAATTAAAAGATACGTCAGGGAGAGATAGTGGTAAATGCACACGATGGAAATGACCCGATAATGACGGTCGAATATTCCTAGTAAATGCAATATCGTCGGAAATAACGCCAAGGTTCGTATGTACCACGAAATTATGCGTCTAGGGTGTGCGTCAACGACTGCGGAGAAATAAACAACAGTGATAAATGCACTAGGAGGGGGAGGAGGGGGAGTTCTGCTTTGTCTACTTGTTCTTCTTATCTTCCTTCACCTCCGTCTCCATATTGGCCGCCGCCGCCGTCGAGTCTGGTGCCCCCGTGGATCTTGCAGGAGAGGGCCTCCGTTGGTGCAGATGGGTCGCCTTGGCAGCGGGCTCGCAATGCAGACCACAAGGGCTGCAACCAAGGACCCCGTCTACCTCAGCCATTGAGCGATGGAGTACCTCCATCCTCCTCTTAAGTTCATCCCGAAGGGCCTTCCTTACGGCCTCATCGTCATTGGCGGTTTGCAGGGGCTTCTGCTGCTGAGCCTGTGAGAAAAAAAAGTGATAAACGCACGCGAGGAAGGAGTGGCCACATCAGTCACAAAGTAGACTATCAAGGACAATGATGCTCGGCGACGCTGGCAGTTTCACTTCCACACAAACGACGTAGTCCGCCACTGCTCCTGTGTGTATGACGCACCCATGCAGCTCTCACAGAAGTAAGAGTGCTCTAAAGGTCGAGCTAAAGAGGGGCCGTCAGATTTGGATCTCAAGTCCTGAGTAGGAGCAGGCTATTTCATAAACTGGCAACTTTGCAAACCAAGATTGTCAGCACTTTGTGGTGGGTTTAATGGGTGGTTACAGTGAGGAAGGTAGGTTCTTGACCCGAGTCGAGTCGAATCCCCTACTTCTTTCCAGCTCGCATGTTTCGGCAGTCTGCGGGAGTAAAACCGACTGGGGATTGGACAGGGCGTAACGGCCGACACTATCCGAAGTCGTCTTCCAAGGCGCGTGTCGTGGTAGCTACATGAGGGCGCCTTTGTAGTAAGAACAGAGTTATACAGGCAGTCTGTGACTTTCCAAAACTCAAGGTCTGGCGTCTTGTGATTAATCGCTCTGAGGCCTCGCTCCCCTCTCCCAATGGTCCTTTCGGGACCGTCGAACAGTGGCTGACGTGGTGGGAACGCTTTCGTCCAAACGCAGTAGTTAGGCACTCAGGCAGACTGAACACAGTTCAGCCAGCGCATGGTAGGAGTCTGTGTGACCTCGGTGGCGCACCCTCTGTTGGAGCTTCGAACGACAACACAAACACACAGAAGCACAATCAGCCACTCAAGATTTCCTAAAGTTCAAACAGAATGCTAAAGGAAACTGAGAAGTGGAAGTGATGCAAATCACAAGGAAACGGACCTCTAACACAAACGGGTAGCAACTTTTCGTAGTAGGAAACGATGATCTACTCACGTGCTCCGTGGTTTTTAAACCTCACAAAATCTTGACTACTTGTGAACAAAAAACTTCGAGTTAGCATCAATGGCCTACTCAGATTCACTGGTGCTGCAGTACAGTCGACAGGAACTGACGAAAAAGCCTTAAACAGGACTGAAAATAATCGATCTATAACTTCGTACCGGCAAATTTGGACAGTAGACATAGTGATGGAATGCCTTCGGTTACGTATAGTCACAGTCCACTTTGCTATAACCTCAACGCCTGTTACTTGTCAAGCATTCCAAGTTATTCATAGATGATTTGGCAGATTTTTGAATAATTCATATTGACCCAACTGTGAAAAACTCGGCGCCTCGGCGGGATTCGAACCCACGCAGTAAAGGGACGGCTTTAGTACAGCCAACGCTCAAACCACTTGAGCTACGAGGCCCCACCGGACGACGCGAGTTTAATCACATTTGGGTTAAGTTACCCACCCAACCTACTGCTACGTCTGGAATCCACCAAATCCGATACAGTAAGTTGACTGTCCAGGCAGGATTTCCTAAGTAATTCACCTTGAATTCACCAGATAACTACCAGGCTTACGCAATTCATAGATGTTTTGGCAGATTTTTTGACCCAAATGTGATTAAACTCGCGTCGTCCGGCAGGGCCTCGTAGCTCAAATGGTTAGAGCGTTGGCTGTACTAAGGCCTTCACCTTACTGCGTGGGTTCGACTCCCACCGAGGCGCCGAGTTTTTCACAGTTGGGTCAATATAAATTCCAAGTTATGTTTGCGAATGAACAAATAAGCTGCCTTAGGGTTAAACAAACTGATTGTAAAGAGACGATCATCAGTGGGCTTTTACAGTTGCATACTACTGAAAAAGACGGCTCCTAAACTAACCCGACACTCATTTACCTGCAACTCGTTTAATTAATAGCGCAGCGTAGTGCCTCAAACCTTCCGCCTTTGATAACTACACCGTGAAAGGGATCATGTGATCACGGTTGTCATACGATCAGAAAATAGGCGCATGCAACCTTTAGGACAATCACAGGTGCCCACAATCACTCAATCAATTCAACACGCTGACATAAACTCTTATTTATTCACGCCATCACCCGAGCGGACGGACACGCACAGGGAGCCCTGATTAGCATTGAGTTTCTGTGCAAAATGCACGACTTCTACTGGTCTTTTCACTTATCAAATACGGGACCGGGTCGTGATTACTGTGACGCTCCGAATACACTCGCCACAGAGGCTACGAAAGAACGTTGGCCTTAAAATTTCAATCAGCGACAAACCAGTTGTTCGGTTTCTCCAATAGGCGTCAGAATGGATAAAAGTGGTCCGAAGTAGTATTCGTTTTTCAGGAATATATAGGTATGTAAGTAGGCTAGAGATTCTTAAATTTTTCGTCTACTCAGGCAATCGTAAATAAAACTGTTTGCGAAACACGAAGCGAAGAACTTCTACATTGTCAATCTGATTAATTAAACTGTCAATGCATGGTCCAGCATTGCGGCAGCATGCGGTATCTGCTCAAGACGTCGACTGATTAGGAGGTGAAAGCGACAAGGCCGGAGACACCGATACGGGACGGTAGATTGCGGGACTGCGGCACTGAGGATGTTAAGCGAGTTCATCTTTCCGTCAAAGCAGTAATGACCGAAGTACTCTCGGACAACTTTCCAGTGCAGAGGGGACCCCTGTAAAGACTACGAATTCAACTGTTGCGAAATTCCTGGGACGGGTCTGTGGCAAAGAGACAGACCAGATTTAATAGAAGACGAAGGCACGATCCCCGGGACAGTAGATTTATTTGCCTGAGCTTTCGAACTCAAACTGGAGTTCATCATCAGAGACTGCTTGAGTGCAGCAACGTGTGAATATTCGAGTTCGAAAGCTCAGGCAAATAAATCTACTGTCCCAGTGATCGTGCCTTCGTCTTCTATTAAACAAGAACCTGGGATGCGCATATTATCTTCCATTCGTGAGACAGATCAGAGTTTGTAGAGTTGGCCAAATCGACATTACTAGGGAAGTAATATGATCAGCGCATGCACAAAACTCTGAGCGACTATATTTGCCCCTTTGATTTCCTAACCTGGCCCTCCGACAGCTGAAGACTAATGAGTCCGGTTACTCCAAAGGTTAGTCCTCCCAAACAAAGTAATCGGCTGAGAATAATATAGCTTTATTCTGCGATGTTCATATTCAGGCCTTTGAACGACTGAGAGGAAAAGAATACTCATTAGAGCCGTCCTCCTGGAAGGCAAATGTCCTTAAAAAGAAACCCGTAGTCAGGCTCACCTGAAGTCGAATCACAAATCGACAGGCGAGAACGAGGCCAAGGACAATGGAATGAGAAGCCTCCTTCATACCCTCATCAAGGGCCCAACAGTTGTACAGGCTGTACAAGATGAGCCCGAGGAGAGAACAATTGCTCAGATCACACAACAGGCCTTGACTGGTGACCATGACGACACCGGAGATTATCTCTACCCCACCATAAACACGCCGAATAGTATGTGCGTTTGGTGTCCAACCAGTCCATGTTCGAAACGGAAAGACTGAGGCATAGCGGAAGAAGGCCTTGCGCTACAAAGAAAAACATTTGAGGAGGACTTCGATTAAATGTTCCTGAAAAATTGTAAAAAACTAACTAATGGTAATATGCAACCAGAACTGAAATCGGAAATATTTTTTAGACCGGAGACCCCAAAATAATGGAAACTTGACCGAAAGAACGCTTTCAAAAGCGTTGCTCTAAAAAGGTGGGACCAACTTGTACAACGTACGTTTTCCTACGTAGTTTTGCCGACTATCCGGAACTTGCACTAAGAGGTTGCAAATGAGGAGAATAAATTCACGGAGCCAAAGGCTGGGACGACCATTACCTCACATCCCTTCAAACACAATAACGCAGTTGGTAAGTTTATGTAATAGGATACAACTCGGGACGACTGTCGATCGAATGAACTTCATGGGTGCGGAGTCAGGACGTATGGAAGATTGCTTAGTACGGCGTATATGGAAAAAGCAGACGAATGGGCTACCACTGATGACGAGACACCGTAGGTATGGAAAGTGCTGAAGTGCAGCGTTCAGAGCGTGCTGTTGACGCCTAGTTCTAAATTAGTCTACAAGATTTCACCCCTTCCTTCTGTATGCGACAATTTCGTAAGTGGGGGAAAGAGTAACGCTAGGGGAACTGCAAATGTGGCGGCATCCAGCGCCTAAATCAACCATATGCGGCTATAAACGCTGATTCGGTGGACGAGGCGAAGAATTACCTTCACTGAAATAAAGACAGGAGGAGACGTCCGGCGATGAGCAAAACCAGGTGTCTTACGCCCTTAGGACTATCAAGTCATGCGGAAAAAATGCGACATGTTTGCATAACGCATGCGAAAGTAATTGTGAAAATGAAAAATCAAAATGCGATACAAAACTGAAAGGAGTGACTAAAGGGAGAACAGACTTACAATTTCCTTGTACAGCTGTTCCGAGAAGACTAGACTAATTTTTAGAAGACCAAAAAATATGAAGAATACTCCAATGGTAACAGATATGGCTTTTAGGGCTGTGTTAGACATTCAGAAGGACAAGTGTAAGCACGCCCGCCAGAACTATGCGCCGTAACAGAAATTGGATGAACCGTTTACCAAAGCCGGTGGACCCACACAGCTCGTTATTAATTGATAGTTCCCGATGTTCTGATGCTGGCTGCAGGTTTGTAATGAACCGTAACCTCACGCGAGCGCTACTATCATCTATGGGATTGGTGTTGTTGGACCAACTTTGACTATGCATAGTGGTGAGTTAAAACGTAGTGTCTTGTTTGTTATAATTTAGGTTTCTTATAAAATTACTGAACATAAGAAATAGGCAATAAGTACAAATAAAGTGGAATGATGATGACTAACGCTTGCTCTGTTTTCTTTCCACAATGCCACTCGACCAATCACAACGCCGGATTCGAATCTTTGGACTACTGCAACGCCTGAGGCCCTATAAATACCCCAGAAGGCTAACGAATTAGCCGAAGTAGGACGCTCGAGCCCTGGCTTTCTGTTGTCTGTCAGCTTTGCTGTTAAGCAAGGACTCCTGCGGCCCTATCTGTGTACATTAGGCCAGTAGCGAGGACTGTAGTAGGTTCAGTTTAATACACGTCTCATTATTTCTTTATAAATTGCCTTAATTCTCCTTGGGGTTCGCCCTCAATCGGATCGGACACGTTACAATTTGGTGGCAGCGGTGCCGCATGCAAAATGGCAGACAATCTCGTAAGTAAACTTGTTAAGGAGCTGCAGAAACTGGCACTGCCGTCGTCGTCTTGCCCCCTCCCTGCCAAACTTTCTCGGTCAGGCGATTTTGATCGTTGGGAAGCCCGGATGACAGACTACCTAGGCGGCGTGGACGACAAATCTAAGGGCGTGGCAATCCTGTCACAACTAGATGACGATGTCTATGACCTGGCTCGGGCTTCAGGCATAAATTCTACAACGCCTATTGCAGAGATTTTTCGGGACCTTCGTCGGATTCTATGCGGCTCAACGCCCACTTGGCTGGTGC